CGGAGAGGGGAGGGGGGGTTGTGGGCAGGGGGGTGGGGTGGCTGGAGGTAGAAGCAGGATATAAGGGGTTTGGGACACACAGTCCATAGGGAAGGTAGGGAGGGCTGATGGGAGTACAAAAGGCTGCTGTTAGACTCTGGGTTTAAGGGGGGGAATACAGATACTGCGAGAGAAGAGTGGGAGTGTTTGGAGGAAGCGGATATAAGGATTTGGATTACAAAGGAGGATGCTGGGGGGGAGGAGAAAGGGGGCTTTTGTGCGGGAGTCACAACCAGTAAAAGGTTTGTTCACAAGGGTTACAAATGCCCTTCTTAGGCGAAGCAGAACTGGTTCTTGAATGTCTAGTGGTAAGAGCAGTAATGTTGATGAAAGGATGGGAGATGTGTGTGCCTCTGGAAGAAGGTGGAGAGGGGGTGAAGGTTTTTCATTAAAAGGGGAAACTAGATCCATTTATTTGTGAGAGGTGGAAATAACAATAGCACATGGAAATCTCATGAAGAGGAGTGATTAGTTTATGGAGCAGCAAAGCCAAGAAAGCGGCTATTTAAACAGCTGGGGTGGGTGTTATGTGAATCGTCAGAGAGCAGATTTAAGATTCCAGTAGCATCTGAGTTGAAATTTCTACAGGGTCTGCTATTTTTGGTTGCAATGTGGAGCAGTAACAAGAGGAAGCATGGTGGGAGAATAAGTGTTGAGAGCCTTCTGTTAATGAATAAAATGGTAGGTAGGTATGAAATGACTGATAGATTCTTATTGTGTGCCCTGGTAGATGTGTACTTGGCCTCAGTGTTTTGGAGTTTGGTTTTCTTGGCTTCTGCTCATTGCCTACCTATTCCCTGATCATGTTCAGCAACTCTTTCTTTTGGGCAATGTATATCTTCCCTCTTCCAAAGTTTCACTTGTATTGGCTTTTGCTAACTATATTGTTTGTTTTGTTCTGGCATTTCATATATATATATATATATATATATATATATATATATACATACACACACACACA